ACCGTTTAGGGCTTTGTAGGTAAGCACCTGCACCTTAAATTGGGCTCGGAAAATAAACGGCAGCCAGTGGAGCTCCTTGAACAGGAGGGTTGACCTCTCTCTGTAATGAGCCCCGGTTAACATCCTGGCTGCTGCTCGTTAAACCAGTTGGAACTTGCGAGCTGTTTTCAAGGGCAGCCCCATGTAGAGTGCATTGCAGTAGTCCAATCTGGAGGTGACCAAGGCATGGACCACCCTGGCCAGATCTTGACAGTCAACTCCTTTGGATGCAGCCTAAGAATCCCCTTGGCTTTTTAGCTGCTGCATCACACTCTTGCCTCATGTTCAGCTTGTTCTCCACAAAGACTCCTAGATCTTTCTCACATGTAACTTTGTTGTGGAGCCAGGCATCATCCATCCCGTATCTTTGCATTCCATTTTTTTCTTCCTAAGTTGAGTATCTTATATTTCCCTTTGTTGGAATTCCCTGTGTTAGTTTTGGCCAATCAGCTCTCTCATTTGTTGTGATCATTTTGAACCCTGATCCTGTCCCCTGGATGATTAGATCTCCCTCCCAATTTGGTGTCATCTGCAAACTTGATCAGCAGGCCTTCCAAACCTTCATCCAAGTCATTAATAAAGATGTTGAACGGAACTGGACCCAGGACCAAACCCTCTTCATGGAACCAAATAGTAACTTCTTTCCAGGATGAAGAGGAGGAATCATTGGGGAGAATTACCTTTAGATTCAGTTGCTTAACCAATTCCAGATCCACCTAATAGTAGCCTTGCCTAGCCCACATTGGACTAACTTGCTTGCAAGAAGGTCATGGGGGAAATTGTCGAAGCCCTTATTGAAATCAAGATAAGATATGCTACATCCACAGCATTCCCTTCATCTACCAAGATTGTAAAAACTGGGGGGAGTCCCTCTTCTCTCATCCCACAGAGACAACTCCTCAGGAGATCAGAGTGAGTCCACCCTTTGGCTCAAAATACTCACAGTCCGGCATCTCAAACCTTTGCTTGGGTCAGTCCCAAGCAAAGCAAACCCAGCGGGTCAAATGGGGAGTTTACATACAGGAAATTCATCCAGGGATTGTGCCCATTTGGGACTTGCTGCTGGGCCTGGAGCAGAAACAGCTTCTTCAGCATCTGTCTCCACCTGCAACGAATGCCTGCCATGATGCCCCCCTCCTCCTATTCTTCTCGCCTTCTTCTCTCCACATTACAGCACCAGGCATTTTTCAAAATTCCATTGCAAAAGAAGAAGGCATTTAAGAGCAAATCAGGGGGTGCTGTGGTTTTAGCTTTGGATACATCTTTAATCAGCTTTTAACCTTTATTTTAACTGTAATTTTTAACTGTTATTTTTAATTAATATAATCAATGTATTGTTGAAGGATTTCATGGCCAGAATCACTGGGTTGTTGTAGGTTTTTCGGGCAGCATGGCCATGTTCCAGAGGTTGTGAGGTCTGTGGAAACTAGTAAAATTGGGTGTATATATCTATGGAATTGAGTCCAGGGTGGGAGAAAGAACTCTAGTCTGTTGGAGGCAGGTGTCACTGTTTCAACTGGCACCTTGATGAGCGTTTGATGGAACGACAAGTTTTAGGTGTGCCTTGTTACTGCCTGGGAAATTACTTAGTTGAGAAGAGATTAGGTGTTCGTACTTCTTGTCGTAAGTTCCCCTGTGTTTAAGGTTTGTTCTTTATTTACTGTTATAATTTTAGAGGGTTTTTTTAAAAAAAAATAATAATCCCAACTATATTTGCTAAAGATCTCCTTCTTTTCACATATAAGAATCAACACATGCAACGTTGAGATCCAGTACCACATCTAAGGAACCTACAACCACAGAAACCATCTCCGCAATCACTCATGAACCGCTGAAATCCACTCCTTCCAGTACAACAGCTAAGGAACCCACAACTACAAAGACTCCTTCTGCTTCCACTCATGAACCGATAAAATCCACTCTTTCCAGTACAACACCTAAGGAACCCACAACTACAAAGCCTCCTTCTGCGTCCACTCATGCACCGCTGGAATCCACTCCTTCCGGTACAACACCTAAGGAACCCACAACCACAGAAGCCATCTCCACCTCCAGTCATGTATCCTTTAGATCCACTCCTTCCACTACCATCTCTGAGGAACCTACAACCACAGAAGCCATCTCCACCTCCAGTAATGTACCTTTTATGTCCACTCATTCCAGTGCCACCTCTGAGGAACCTACAACCTCACAAGCCATCTCCACCTCCAGTCATGTATCCTTTAGATCCACTCCTTCCACTACCATCTCTGAGAAACCTACAACCACAGAAGCCATCTCCACCTCCAGTAATGTACCTTTTATGTCCACTCATTCCAGTGCCACCTCTGAGGAACCTACAACCTCACAAGCCATCTCCACCTCCAGTCATGTATCCTTTAGATCCACTCCTTCCACTACCATCTCTGAGAAACCTACAACCACAGAGACTCTCTCCGCCTCCAGTAATGTACCTTTTATGTCCACTCATTCCAGTGCCACCTCTGAGGAACCTACAACCTCACAAGCCATCTCCACCTCCAGTCATGTATCCTTTAGATCCACTCCTTCCAGTACCATCTCTGAGGAACCTACAACCACAGAGACACTCTCCGCCTCCAGTCATGCACCTTTTATGTCTACTCATTCCAGTGCCACCTCTGAGGAACCTACAACCACAGAAGCCATCTCCACTTCCAGTCATGTATCCTTTAGATCCACTCCTTCCACTACCATCTCTGAGAAACCTACAACCACAGAGACTCTCTCCGCCTCCAGTCATGTACCTTTTATGTCCACTCATTCCAGTACCACCTCTGAGGAACCTACAACCACAGAAGCCATCTCCACCTCCAGTCATGCACCTTTTATGTCTACTCATTCCAGTGCCACCTCTGAGGAACCTACAACCTCACAAGCCATCTCCACCTCCAGTCATGTATCCTTTAGATCCACTCCTTCCACTACCATCTCTGAGAAACCTACAACCACAGAGACTCTCTCCGCCTCCAGTCATGTACCTTTTATGTCCACTCATTCCAGTACCACCTCTGAGGAACCTACAACCACAGAAGCCATCTCCACCTCCAGTAATGTACCTTTTATGTCCACTCATTCCAGTGCCACCTCTGAGGAACCTACAACCTCACAAGCCATCTCCACCTCCAGTCATGTATCCTTTAGATCCACTCCTTCCACTACCATCTCTGAGAAACCTACAACCACAGAGACTCTCTCCGCCTCCAGTAATGTACCTTTTATGTCCACTCATTCCAGTGCCACCTCTGAGGAACCTACAACCTCACAAGCCATCTCCACCTCCAGTCATGTATCCTTTAGATCCACTCCTTCCAGTACCATCTCTGAGGAACCTACAACCACAGAGACACTCTCCGCCTCCAGTCATGCACCTTTTATGTCTACTCATTCCAGTGCCACCTCTGAGGAACCTACAACCACAGAAGCCATCTCCACTTCCAGTCATGTATCCTTTAGATCCACTCCTTCCACTACCATCTCTGAGAAACCTACAACCACAGAGACTCTCTCCGCCTCCAGTCATGTACCTTTTATGTCCACTCATTCCAGTACCACCTCTGAGGAACCTACAACCACAGAAGCCATCTCCACCTCCAGTAATGTACCTTTTATGTCCACTCATTCCAGTGCCACCTCTGAGGAACCTACAACCTCACAAGCCATCTCCACCTCCAGTCATGTATCCTTTAGATCCACTCCTTCCACTACCATCTCTGAGAAACCTACAACCACAGAGACTCTCTCCGCCTCCAGTCATGTACCTTTTATGTCCACTCATTCCAGTACCACCTCTGAGGAACCTACAACCACAGAAGCCATCTCCACCTCCAGTAATGTACCTTTTATGTCCACTCATTCCAGTGCCACCTCTGAGGAACCTACAACCTCACAAGCCATCTCCACCTCCAGTCATGTATCCTTTAGATCCACTCCTTCCACTACCATCTCTGAGAAACCTACAACCACAGAGACTCTCTCCGCCTCCAGTAATGTACCTTTTATGTCCACTCATTCCAGTGCCACCTCTGAGGAACCTACAACCTCACAAGCCATCTCCACCTCCAGTCATGTATCCTTTAGATCCACTCCTTCCAGTACCATCTCTGAGGAACCTACAACCACAGAGACACTCTCCGCCTCCAGTCATGCACCTTTTATGTCTACTCATTCCAGTGCCACCTCTGAGGAACCTACAACCACAGAAGCCATCTCCACTTCCAGTCATGTATCCTTTAGATCCACTCCTTCCACTACCATCTCTGAGGAACCTACAACCACAGAGACCTCTCCGCCTCCAGTCATGTACCTTTTATGTCCACTCATTCCAGTGCCACCTCTGAGGAACCTACAACCACAGAAGCCATCTCCACCTCCAGTCATGTATC